TTGCTCGCCATCTTTTACACATTTCTCACAACTAGGCAGGTGGGGTACCCCTGGGACGTCTCATCGAACGCCGTTCTCGCATTTGACTCGGGATCAGTGACCAACCGGCGGATGTATCACTTCTACCTGGACCTGAAATACCTGTTTGGTTCGCCCCATGTTCAGGAGAAGCTGCGTAGTGAGGAGCGCTACCTGTTGCAGTTCCTAGACCTTGTCAAGCTTCACCAAGGCATTGGTCCGAATGTTAGGGCGGTTGGGGAACACGTCGAGTACGAAACAGACAGCTGGATCACGGCGTCACTGGTGACAAGAGAGATCAACCGACTAGCTCGACAGTTGGCGGATGCGTTCAGAAACGTCCCCGAGAACGAAGCGCACCTCGTGGCTCAAGCAATCAGAATGACAGCCAAGGCCGTGATCCTGCACTCCGTTGGCGCGGAACGGCACCGTTTCAAGCAGGCAGAAATCAAAGATGAGGTCAAGTTCAAGACGCTGGGTGATTTCGAATTCGACAACGAGTCGTCTCGGTACGAGGTTGTCAAGTTCACCGTGGAGGAGGATCCAATCAGCTTTCACCACGCCCTGCACTACACGCTCTCCTGGCTTATCGAATGCGGAAAGTCTCTGCCTGCTTCGAGCATGAAGGCTCTCCTGAGCTTCACCACCCAAGATTTGAGGCTGCCACCGCGCACCATGGGTCGCAAGATGATGCCCAAACGAGACAACTCCCCTGAAGACAACCTCATGGCCACCTTTGACTACCCCCTCCGTGTTTGTGCTTGGCTCGCCCAAATCAAGGCCAACATGTGGGTGCGCAATGGCATCAGCCTTCGCCACCAAGCCGCCACGTATCGTGGAGTCAGCCAGAGAGATGTTTCACACCATCGTGACATTTTCCTGCTTCAAACTGCCATGGTTGTCGCCGATCCGAGTCGTGTTCTTGCGTCCATCATTGACCGGTTTGGTATGGAGAAATGGGTCAAGGGCTTCTTTGAGCAAAAGTCGGCGGCTCAGGATGACGTGCAGCATCTCGACGTGGTTGAAGACATGATCCACCTGCTGATTGTGCTTCTGAGCGACCGCACCTCTTTGATCGCCCCTGGGGATGAGCCCAATTCCAACATCCTTGCCATTCGCCGCGACCTCACCCACATTCTGTGCTTCAAGCCCCTCTCGTTCAATGAGATTAGCAACAAGTTGCCAGAAAAGTGGCAAGAACAAGAAGACTTCCATGCTGTCCTGGACGAGATGGCTTCATTCAAGCCCCCTGAAGGCGTGTCTGACGTTGGCACTTTCGAGCTGAAGCCTGAATTCGTAGAGCACATCGACCCGTACATTGCTCACTACAACAAGAACCAGCGAGAGGAGTCTGAGCTGGCGTACCGCAAGAAGATGGCCATCAAGACCGGCAAGCCTGTGGAAGAGATCGTCTACGAGCCCAAGCTTCGACCCATCCCCTCAGGTCTGTTCAAGGACCTGGCCGCGTTCACCGGTACGGGCATGTTCGCGCAGATCGTTTACTACTCTTTGCTGTACCCGTTGGTTGCTGGCCGCCTCACACCAGGCGTCCCCAACACGCGCATCGAGACCTTCCTCCAGGTTGTTCTCCACCTCATCCTCATTGCCATCTCTGAAGACAAAGAGGATGAAAGTATCATGCCAGACGAATCGCACAGCTCCTTCATCTCCATCGCCTTGACGCGTACGGCCCGAAGCAACTTCATGCAAGAAGCACCCACTGCAAAGACAATTGTCTCTCTGCTTGACATGATGTCGACCAAGGAGGAGTTCAAGGCATGCCACCCCAAGATCGGTCTAATTCTCAAGCGAATGCGTCAGAAGCGCCCTCGCAATTTCGAGAACGCTTACATGCGATTGGGCGTCTCAGTCGACCGCATCGATACTGCCTCGCCAGCTACTAACTCGGCCGAGGAGGAGCGAGAGCGGAAGAAGAAGGCGGCACTTTCTCGCCAGGCCAAGGTCATGGCACAGTTTCAACAGCAACAGAAGAGCTTCCTGGAGAACCAGGGCAACATCGACTGGGGTTCCGACCTCGAGGATGAGGATGAGGTCGAGCAAAACGTCGATCGAAAGAACAACTGGAAGTACCCTTCAGGGACCTGCATCCTTTGCCAGGAGGACACGGACGACAGGCGACTCTATGGAACCTTTGCCCTCTTCAATGAAAGCATGGTTCTCAGGCAGACTGACTTGCAAGATCCTGATTTTGTGCGGGAGGCATTCCATACCCCCTCTAACCTGGACCGATCTGCGGAGGATATCCGTCCCTTTGGAGTCGCCCACGAGAACCGCGAGGAAGTGGTCAAGGTCAATGCCAAGGGCGAGAAGTTTGCTGCGGAGCGCCAGACGATTGGCAAGGGTTTCCCCTCAAATTTGTCCCGTCCTGGACCCGTCTCTACCGGCTGTGGGCATATGATGCACTTCAGCTGCTTCGAGATGTACTTTGACGCAACCAATCGCCGGCATCACCACCAGATCGCACGTCATCATCCAGAGAATCTTAGGAGACAGGAGTTCGTCTGCCCTCTGTGCAAAGCTCTCGGCAACGCGTTCCTGCCCATCATCTGGAAGGGCCAGGAAGAGTCATTCCCTGGTCCCTTGCAGTCCCAGCATATCTTCAGAGACTTCCTCGACACTCAGATGAAGTCAGGATACTACATCCTCGGCGCCAGCCGTCCTCCGGACGAAGTCCAAGCATCGTTTGCCAAGTACACTGATGGACATGTCACCAGCGCCTTGGCGGAGAAGGCGTCGCAACTAGTTGACGAAGCTTGGTCGGCCGATGATTCGGGTCTCGACTCTGTTGTTGTCAACACGCCATTGACGAATGTGTTCCCAACAGCCACCACGCCAGTCTCGAACCGCCGATCGCTGCCTAGCAATAGCTCAACCATTGTCGGCGAATTGGTTCGGGTCTATCGCCGTCTTCGCGATACCATGTCGTCCAACGGTTTCGAGTCTCGCCACACCTACCCCGCTCGTGAGCTTAGAGAGAAGAACGAGCTGGTTCACAGTGACATCTTGGCCAAGCTGGTTGGCTTCTCAGTTTCTGCTGCAGAGATACAGCAGCGAGGCACAGAGGCACAGTATGGCTTGACGTTGCTCGAGAAGATTCCTGAGCAAAGCCTCACGCACCTGCGCATCTTGGCTGAGACGGCAACCTCATACATCGCAACTGGCAGCCTCAAGGCAGGCGGTGACAACTTGATAGAGCAGGAGTTCCGCAAAAACAGCGAGCGCCAGCACGTGCAACTTTTTGTCTCTCAATACTTTGGACAAGAAACGGAGACTGTGAGCCGACCGATCGACATCTACGCGCCGTTGTTGGGACAAGATCCCTTCATCTTCTTTTCGGAGTGCGTGTTTGGTCTCATTCCTGCCCAAAACTTTGACATCACCCACATTCTACGATTATGCTACCTCGCAGAAATTGTCAAGGTTGTCTACCACATGGGTCGCAACATTCAAGTATCCACCTGGGTCGGTCATCTTCTGAATAAGTCCACGCAAGACCCGGCGCTGAAGAACTTTGCCGAATTCTGCCTTGCAATCACCAAGGTCCGTATGGAGATCAACGTGTCTTCCCACGAGATGCCCAAAGACCTGGGCGAGAACCGCGGGTTCAGCCAGCCCGAGTTGGACAACTTGGAGGGCTACTACACCTTTGTCAAGAAGTACGCCTTGACTTTCTTGAGGAAGAGCATCGTTCTTCTTTACGTCAAGTACGGCATCGACTTCAACAGCCACGTCTCTCCCCAACCCGATGCGGACGAGCTGGAACGTCTGACCGAAGCCCTCCGCGTCCCGTCGTTCGACGAAATGTGCGCCGCGGTTACTGACCACGGCCCATCCTGCGGCTGGCCAGCTTCGACCATGGGTCTCGTCAGCGGCTGGATCCGGCACCAGATCATGTGGCCTGGAGATATTGACAGTAACCTTCCGAGTACCGCTCTGATCAGCCACCCCGGCATATTCGAGCTGGTGGGACTGCCCAAGAACTACGATGCCCTCATAGAAGAGGCCACCAAGCGCAAGTGCCCCACGACCGGCAAGGACGTTTCCGACCCCATGATCTGCCTGCTCTGTGGTGAAGTCTTCTGCGGCCAGGCGGTCTGCTGCCTCAAGGAGGAGACGTCATCCGGAGACCGCGAGCCCCAGAGGATTGGCGGCTCGCAGCAACATATGCGAAAGTGAGTATCCACATTGTTGACCCCTCGCAAGCTCCTTACTGACTGAAATCGCGTCCAGGTGTCAAAAGAATATTGGCTTGTTCCTCAACATCCGCAAGTGCTGCATCTTTTACCTCTTCCGCCTCTCGGGCTCCTTCAGCAGCGCCCCCTACATTGACAAGTACGGCGAGACGGATCTCGGACTGCGCCATGGCCGCCAGCTGTACCTTAACCAGAAGCGCTACGACTCGATGCTGAGAAACACGTTCCTCAGCCACGGCATCCCCAGCTTCATCAGCCGGAAGCTGGAAGCGGAGATTAACAACGGAGGATGGGAGACGATTTGAGGGGTGGAGGTCAACTGTTCGTATGTACAAACGATTGAGTTCTGCAGGGAATAAAGGCGCCCGACTTTCGTGAGGTTGGGCAATGAGCGGAGAGAGAGAGGGACGGAGTACATTGGCGGCTAGAATTATTTCCCCTTTAGTGATAGCCCATCTAGTGGATAGACTTTTGCGCATCTCCATCTGCTGCGATTCGGCTGCGCGTTGTTGGGGGCGGGACACGCAAGGAGTTTTCACGGCGGTCGGCCAAATTGTTTTGATCATCACATCATGGTACCTTAGATCACATAGCACATTGCATCTTGATGCGAAGAAGAAAGCTTTTACCCTCAAATTCTAGGTCCTGACCCGAGCAGACATCTCCTTTTTCCCGTGGTATCAAATGTAGGTAATAATAGTAGTAAATGCTGGCTCTTTTTGAGTCTCAAGTATATTGTTGCGCCCTTCACACAGCATCAGTCATTCTTCACGTCCCGCCCATCTCCATGTCTTCTTCCTGCTTTATCGGCGGTTCCGTGCTGCTCGCTTCGTCGACCTTGTCCGCCTCCGCGTGCCCATTCGTCAGAACAGCATAAGCGGCGGCAGCATCACTGCCGTTGGCGACCACCCTTCTGAAAATCCTGATAGACCCATCCTGCCCCGCGCTGACCATGTTGTCCCCGTGGACATCGACCCAGAAGCAGACGCTCCCCTTGCCGTCCCGGTCCTGTCGGTGTGCGGGCATCCTCTGGACGACTTCCTTGGTGACCACGTCCCAGAGGACAATCTCGCCGTCCTCGCTGGCCGACGCGATGAAGGCCCCCTCGTCGGGCACGATGCCGAAGCACCCCCCGATGGCGAACTTGTTGTTCGCGTGGCCCTGGTACGTCTTCAGGACGGCGCCCGAAACGTAGTCCCACAGGCGGATGCTGTTGTCGAGGTTGAAAGCGAGGACGAAGCGGCCGTTGGGCGAGAAGCAGACGGAGGTAACGGCGGGGTTGTCCTCGTGGACGAGGGTGCGCAGGCATTGGCCTGTGTATGTATCCCAGATACGGCTGTCACTCTTCGTTAGTGTCTCATCCAAGGGGAAGGGGAGGGTGCTCACATCAGTCCGTCGGTTGAACAGCTGACGACCAAGGTCCCGTCGCAGCAAAAGTCGATTCCGCTCACGGGGTCACTGTGCGCGGGCAGACTCCTCATCAGCCTCCCCGCCCTCACGTCCCACAGGAAGACAGCCTCGTCGTAGCTCCCGCTCGCGAGGATGTTGCCCTTGGGCGAGAAGGCCAGGCAGTGCACGTAATTGTGGTGCCCCAGCAGCGGCGGCATCGGCCTGTGGCTGCTGCCCTCCTTGGCCAGGACGCCGCCCATGCCCTTGGCCGTGACCTTGGGCCGGCCCGTGACCCTGTCCCACAGCCGGATCGCCTTGTCGTCGCTGCCGGACGCGAGGGTGCCGCTGTCGGGGCTCCACGCCACGCAGCTCACACCCGCCATGTGGCCCACCAGCGTGTCCATGTGCTTTCCCGTGTCCGCGTCCCAGATCTTGAGCGTGCCGTCCGCCGAGGCCGACGCGATCCACCTGCCGTCGGGCGATATCCGCACCTGAGACACGGGCTTGCCGTTGTGGCCGCTCAGCACGCGCGTCTCGCGGTACGTCGGCCGCACGGGACCCTTGCGTGCCGGTGTCGCGGGGGTGACTGCGCCTCCCGTCGTGACTTCAGCGTCCTCCTCTGCGCCGGGCGAGAGTCGTAGTCTGCGGTCGACATTGTCTGCGAGGCTCCGCGGGGATGACGAGCCGCGGGACGTGGAGGCGGGCGTCGGAGATCGCGAGGGTGATGCGGTCGGGGAGCGTGGGGAGCGGGAGCGTGAGCGGGAGGAGCGGGAGTAGTACGCCCCGTTGAGCTCGTCGTCGCTTGGGGACCTGCTAGGCGTCATGCTAGGACGGGCTCGCTGGGTGGACAGGCGGCGGCGGTGGGTTGTCTTTGTGCGTTTTGCGGCGACGGAGGCAGCCAGCTCGTCGCCGGTGACCGTCAGCTCGTCGGGGGAGCTGTAGCGGGGGGTTGCTGTCTGGTCGAGGACTTTGCGACGTTTCGGGGGCGGTTCGGGGAGGGGTGTCGAGACTGCTGGGGAGTTGAGGTCTGGCATTTTTCTGGGACCGTCGGCGGTCGTCGCGTCGATCTTGTTGAGTCGGGGAAGCCGCAAGTTGTGGAAGGAGATTTCGGTGTCAAAGGCAAGAAGGGAGAAGTAGGAGGAACTGTCGGGCGGCGAGGGAAAGAGGCCAGGACAAGGCTGAAAGTGACGATGGACATGAACTTTTGGAAGCAGCAGCAAGGAGCAGCAGCAGGGAGCAGGGGGCCTGACGTTTGGCGGTAAAGCGCACTGCACTCACTGTCAGCCTCGTCCCACCGCACGGATCGCCAGAGGGTCGCTGGGGGACGCTAGAAACAATTCAGCGGGTCTGGAATGCTGCAGTGACACTGCGGCTACCGATTGGTCAATGGGGAGTTTTGCTGGTGGAGCGGCGCCGTTGAGGTGCACGTAAAAACGGGGCCCTCCCGAACCCCCGGCCGGCTGCCGACGGAGGAGAGAGTTCGCGGCGCAACGTCATTTTTGGAGAGTCAGTCTGAGCGATGGGCGATGGCTTCGTCTCATCTTGTTCAAGTTCAAACCTGAGGCTATGATCATGAAGCTTGGCCGTTTTGAAGAGTTTTCACTCAATCTGCATTGCTGCGGAACATTCGGCGCACCTTTGACCGCACCGCATCCGTCCATGCCTCAATGCAACCAGATCTAACCGCCCTCATCATCACCACGCTCATCAGCCCAGCTTCTTAAAGAAACACTAGCTAGCCCCATCCATCCCACCACACCCACACTCACCCCGCTACCACCGCCAAGATGGAGAGCCCGTACGAATCCGCCCAGCTTCTCAGGCAACACAGCTCACCCCCATCCCAACACATCCAGATGCAATCCCTCAGCAGCCTCAACAGCGTCAAGATGGACAATCCAAATGACCTTCGCCTCCTGACCTTGAACTGCTGGGGTCTGAAGTACATCTCCACCCTCCGCGCCGCCCGCCTCGAGGCGATCGGCCGGCGCATCCTCTCCCTCCCAAAACCGCCAAACATCGTCTGTCTGCAAGAGTGCTGGGTCACAGCCGACTTCGAATCCATCCGCCACACCCTCGCCCCCATCCTCCCGCATGCAAAGTTCTACTACTCGGGTCCCTTTGGCGGCGGCCTCGCCATCCTCTCGCGATGGCCCATCGTCGAGTCCTCCATGCACCGCTACCCTCTCAACGGGCGTCCCACCGCCTTCTGGCGCGGCGACTGGTATGTCGGCAAGGGCATCGCATGCGCCCAGATCCGCATCCCCGTCGCCGCCGGCGAAGACGACATCGCCACCACCAGAGAGCAGACGCTGAGCATCTTCAACACGCACACCCACTCCCCTTACACCGAGAACCAGCCGGGCGACAGCTACCTCGCCCACCGCCTCGCCCAGGCCTGGGAGATGTCCAAACTCTGCCGCGGCGCCGCGGAGAAGGGCCATCTCGTCCTCGCCATGGGCGACTTCAACATGCGGCCTCTCAGCCTGCCCCACCGCATCATCACCGCCCACGCCCCCGTCCGCGACGTCTGGCGCGAGCTGCACCCGGACTCGTCCCTCGGCGCCGTGGAGGACCCACTCGAGAAAGCCCGCGGCCGCCCGGCGCCCACCGCGGACTTCAACCTCCACGAGAACGGCGCAACCTCGGACGGGCCCTTCAACACCTGGCGCTGGCCCAAGCATCTCCAAAAGAAGCTCGGCGAGGGGAAACAGCCCGTCGTCATGCCCCCAGACACGATTGATCTCAAAGGCAAGCGATTGGATTACATCTTCTTCGGCGCGCCCACGGATCCAAACGGCGGGGAGTGGGTCATCAAGGAGGCGGAAGTCGGCATGGTAGAGCCTCATCCCACCCTGGGCTGTTCTCTGAGCGACCACTTCTCCGTCGAGGCGACACTGTCATATCACCCTACCAGGATCCGCAGAGATCCCAGGCTGTCCGCTAGGCTGTCCATCCAGCTTGAACCCTACCTCCTGCAGAGCCTGTCCCTTTCCGATGCTGAGTACGACAGTATTCTGTCGACGGTGCGTGAGTACGTAACACGTGAGGAGAAGCAGCGTTTCAACAGGGGCATGCACTTCGCTTTCTGGTTCACTGTTCTTTGGGTCTGTCTTATAGGCGTGTGGTGGAGTAAGCACAACGCTGTGGCCTTCATTCTGATGCTCTTTAGCAGCTTCGGTTTGGTTGCGGGTGTTGTTGATGGCCTCTTGTCGTTGCTATTCTTCAACACAGAGTTGAGGGCTCTCAAGGAGTTCGAATGGGAAATGAAGAATGCCAAGGGTCAAGCTCTTTGGAAATCTGGGAGGGCCTCGGGGATGGAAAAGCCCATGTGAGCGGCAACCCCCAGAATAGCGTCGATGGCGATGATGGGAGAGCCTGTGTATACACGATAATGTTTATGTCTTATTTCTATCCAATACCTCTGGTTCGTTTACCTCACCAAACTCCATTACACCAGTAGCCACCTCCGATCAAAATGTTTGAGCCGGTTGCAGGCTTTCAATCTTCGAAGGGTACCCGAACGTTTCGCCCTGCAATACAGCATGGTATGGTTCAGCGTCATACTGTGCGGGAGCCGGCCGGAGCCTGCTTCGAGGCTTGCGCCACGAATACCCCAGAAATGCCGTTTGCTTCCTCAGCTGCATCACTTCATCTTTCGTGTCCGGGTCCCTGAGCAGCATGTCCCTGGGTCGCTTGCGTTCCTTTTGACCATACTTCCTGACGTACTCTTTCAAGCCATTCTTCCCATCGTAACTCAGCCTTGAGAAACATTCGTCAATGTCGCGATCAATCTGCTTGAGCCGCGTTGAGTCATAAGGCTGCTTGATGGCATTGATTACAAAAGCGACGTGTTCTTCTCTGTAATCACAGGCCGCAAGGGATCTTCTTAGTTTAAGCCAGATTTGGTCGGGGATGACCTCGTTCCCATCTACTACATCTTGACCACCAGTACTTGATGACTCGGACCAGTCACTGATGGGCTCATCTTCTTCGAAATAACGGGTGTCTAGGTCGCCGCGGATTAGGGGCAGCCACTGTGGCGTTCGTTCACGTAATTCAGACCATTTGATCCCTCGAAACCACGGATGCCTCTTGATATCAGAAGCATCGTTCGGAAACACGTACTGGCGCCGGAGGAGACCTTCTTGGTCACGATACTGCGGAGAAGAAAGACGGTGATGCTTCTCTCGAAGCAAGCAGTTAATCAGATCTTGACATGCGTCTGATACTGGAGGATCCTCGGGAAAAGCCAAGGGTCCCCTGAATTTCTGTCCAAAGTCAGCAATAGCAGTTTTCAGCAGTCGGTATTACTCACGGTGATGTTCTTCTTGGTGTACTGGCGACCCTTATCAGAGATGAACGGCGTATACCCATAAAGGCATTCATAAAGAATGATTCCGATGCTCCACTAGTCGCATCTGCCGTCGTACCTCTCACCCATGACGACTTCTGGAGCCATGTACTGGCTGGTGCCCACAACGGAGCGAGCATGCGACCGGCGCGTGGCAGTGGCTCTCCAGTTGAGAAGATCATCGACCAGAAGGCAGTCTGAGGAACCACGTGGACGATTGTTTCCGTTCCTGTTCTCCTGCCCCAGTCGCTCCCTGAGGAGTAGCTTGCTGCCTTGGACAACTTGGAAAGGAGGCTCGTGTCGTGTAAAGTTCAGCTGGCATGAGCTCTGCTTTTGTGCTGGATCCGAATTTGACTTTCGATCTTCATAGTCTCCGTTGAGGGCGAATGTCTGTTTCGAGAGCAGCCCTTGTCGTTGCCATCTGTAGTACGAAGTGTCGTGAGACCAATGGTCGTCAAACGCAAGGCCGAAATCTGAGATCTTGAGATGACCGTCAGCGCCAATGAGAAAGTTGTCGGGCTTCACATCCCGATGAATGCAACCTAGCCTGTGCGCTTCCTCGACACAGAGTATCATCTCGGCAATATAAAACCGTGTCCGCGACTCGCTGAGCACTTTTTCTCGAATCAGCAAGCCTAGGAAGTCGCCCCCAGGCATGTAGTCCATGACAAGATAGAGATTCGCCATGTCCTGGAAGCTGAACAGCAAGGGAACAATCCTGGCGGAAAGTTCTTGGTTAGAATAAAAACACCAATAGCAAGAGGCAAGCTCACCATTCGGAATCTGAGGCGGCGACCAAAAAGTCTCTTTCCGCCCGCAAGTGACCCTCTTGACAGCTTCGTATCATGTCCGACTTTCGAATAATCTTCATGGCGTACACCTCATTGAACTTTCTTCGGACGTACTTATCTCGAACGACCTTTCGGACGAGCTTCACGACACCAAAGCTACCCTTACCGAGGATACTCATGGTCTTGAAGTCATCAACGCATAATCCAAGGGGGTGCCCATGCTTGCTGTTTCCCGATGCCTTCGTCGACCATGTGGACAAGATCGACCTGCAGCTCTGAGCTTTGTCGACTCTTTGCTTGCGGAGATTGCTAGACTCTTCCTAGAAGCACAAGTCCATCTGCTGCTGAACCTCCGTGTTGGATAGATGCGAGCGGTTCAAGTGTTGCCGGAGCGCGGAGACACGCTGTCGACGCTGCTCGAGTGGCCCCCTGTGCGCACCGCGAGGAGAAAGAATCTCTTCCTAGTAGCTCTCCAAGTAGATCTTGGCTGCGGCGACCTTCTCAATGGTTCGCACCCTCTCAACGTCAACTGGCTGGAGCGGGGGAGCCTCGTCTTCTTGCGATCGCTGCGATCGCTGCGAGGTCTCTTCGGCGGCCGCGAGCCTACGAGGGCTCTGGTCGCGGTCACCGTTCATCCGGATCGGGACCTTTATGCCCTGCATCAAGCGAGAGAAACTGCTGCTGCCGCTTGATCTGGGGCCTGCCCTAACGTCAGCGTCCACCTCGACGTCTTACTCATCTGGCACGGCTGTACCTGCAGAGGAGATACTGAGCTTGGCCCAGCCCTGGATCTTGCGGATCATTGTCCCGTTCTCATGGCGAAGTTTCATCGGGTGGTTTGCCTTGGCGTGGACGGGACTCAGATGGACAGATGGAAGCGGTGCGGTGTACAGCGGAGTGCTGCTGGAACGGCGAGGAGAGGCTTCCATGGCGACGATTGGGTAACTGGCGTGATGTATAAGTTTGCTGGTAAACGATCTGTATGAATGACGTAGAGTCCAAAAAGAGAGATAGAAAGCCGACCAGCGATGGGGTGCTTGATCTGGCGATGTGTCTGTGGACGTTGATGTTGTCCGGGTTCCAGAACAAAACGAGGACGACAACATAAGTATTCCAGCCACGTTCAGCTGGCAACCGGCGACGGGTTGGCCTCCGGCAGGGGCAACGTCGTCACTTCTTCTAGCGGCAAGAGACATGCTTCCACGGCAACTGGACACCTGCCAAAGCATCACGAGACGGATGGAGCAGCAGCTCCGGGACTAAAATGGAAACAGTAAGGAAATCTTTTCGTTAGGAAACCGAAACTAAGTACAGACCGACCGGAAGAAACCATAACCGGTGCGAAAATTCCTACAACGGAAACTCTTTTGTGGTACGCCAACCAATGCAGTGTAAGTCCTCGCCTCGTCATCCCATCCAACAAAATCTGCTTCCCGCAAAGTGATGATTGCAGATCTTCACAGATAGCCACAGGTCGGAGACTCTCCATTGCGGCACGACGAAAGCATGTGCTCGCAATCCCGCGAACACACATCATTATAAGGGAAAGTCATCGTCTGGACGCCGGTGCCCAGCTAGTCCAAGCCATCTTCGTGGTAGACATGCCAGGCAAGTATGTGTACAGTAGGGCACCCTCAGTCGGCGTCTCTTCGCCGAAGGCGGGCATGTCGTCAAGACATTTACTTGATCTCAAGGAGCTTGACGTCGAAGGTCAGGGTGCTGTTGGCGGGAATGCCAGGCAGGCCCTTGGAGCCGTAGGCAAGGTGAGCGGGGATGGTCAGACGACGCTCGCCGCCAATAGTCATGCCGAGGATACCGACATCCCAGCCCTTGATGACCTGGCCCTTGCCGGCCTTGAAGGAGAAAGGCTTGCCCTTCTTGTTCGCTGCAGGCGGTGTTAGCATGAGCGAAAATTGAAGCTTCGTTGTCATCTGTGCTTACCATCGAACACCTTGCCGTCGTCGAGCTTGCCAATGTAGCGAACACCGACGGTATCGCCGTTCTTGACGGCGCGGCCAGAGCCGACCTTGCGGTCGTCAATGGTGACGCCCTGGACGACCTTGACGCCGACCTTGCCAGCCTGCTTCGCCTTCTCAGCGGAGCCGGTAGGGCCCTGCTCGAGGTTCTTGGCGAACTGGACCTTCTTGTCGGACTTGGGGGTGGACTTCTCCTCGGCGGCGACGGCCTCGCCCTTGTTGTTCTTGAGCTTCTTCTTGTCCTTCTTGGACAGCTTGGACTCGTCCTTGCTCTCGGCAATCAGGTCGTCGAGGCTCTCGGCGGCGCGCTTGTTCTTGCCCTTCTTGGTCTCGACCAGCTTGGGGGCCTCCTCGTCGTCGGAGTCGACCTCCATGACGCGGGGGTCGGCGGTGTCGTCGAGGTCATCGCTGTCCTCGTCAGAGACCTCGCCCATGGCGTACTCGAGCTCATCGGGGGAGAGGTCGTACTCGCCGTCCTCGTCGTCCTCGTCCTCGCTGTCGGAGCCCTCCTCGGCATCGATAACGTAGTTGCCGGTCAGGTGGACAGTGTGGGTACCAGAGACGACGAAGAAGACCTTCTCGCCCTCGGTGACGGTGATGTCAAGGGGCTGCTGGTAGTTCTGTAACATTGTTAGCGGGGTCCCTGAAGGCGTCTGTGGGTTGTGGCGCAACTTACGCGCTCGGTGTCAAGAGTGCAGATGACAAAGTTCTCGAGGTCGAGACCGTCCTCGTCGTCGCTGTCCTCCTCGCTCTCCTCATCCTCGTCGTCGTCGGAAGCCTTGGCCTTGCCCTTCTTGCTCTTGCCGTTAGGCTTGGCATCGTCCATCTCCTCGTCAGAGTCCTCCTCTTCTTGAGCGGCCTCGATCAGCTTCTTGAGGGCGTCGGCCTGCTTCTGCTTCTTGGACTTGGCGGGGTCGCTGGGGCCACCGTTGGGCTCGTCGTCATCATCAGAGTCCTCGTCATCGTCGTTGGCGGCGATCAGAGCCTTCATGTACTCCTCGTCAATCTCATCATCACCGTCCTCCTCGAGGTCGTCGCCGAAGCGCTGCTTGACCAGGCGGAGGGTAGAGCGGGGGACAGCAGGGATGTTTCCGTCGTTGTCAGCCTCGGGCGCCTCGGTAGGGTCAATGGCGGCCATGGTGATGCGGAACTGCAATTGCACAATCAGTCACTGTCGTGAGACGAATGCGCCGGGCGCAAGCAGCAGTCCAGCAGCGATTCGAGTGCTGGCACAACCCAGACTGGGAGCCCAGAGGCGAGGAAGATACTTACAGTGGCAGGGAAGTCGGGAGAAGCGGGGATGAGGACATCGCCAGGAGGGATCTCCAGGCCGTAGAGAGCGACGGGCTGGGCCATTTTGCTGGTGTGTGAAGTGTTGCGTTAAAAGAAGTGAAAAGGATGCCGCGTTCGGACTTGTACTGGGAATAATTAAAACGTCAAAGGAGTCAAAGGACCGTTGACTTGGGAATGTCTTGTTTGGGTATCGAGGGAATTGGGGGGGAAGAGATGAGAGTTGCAGTGGAGGGAGAGAGAGGTTGTACAGAGAAGGTGAGGTCCAGGTAGAAGAGCTTTTGCCTGAAATTTTTTTCCTCATCGACGCCTGCCCGGGAACTTTTTTTTTTTTTTTTCTGGCGTCGACCCCACCGCCCAAGGCACTAGCGCCGCCTTATCGGTCTTATCCTGCCATAGCAACAGCTGCACAACGACCACCTCGACAGGGAAGCTGCGTCCGGGGAAAGAACTGCATAGGACCCTTGCTCAAGAAAAAAAAAAGATGGACTCCAGTTGCACAATTGCGGACGGTGAGGATGGGGATGGAGCCACCGAGAAGCATCCGCGCACACCGCTCTGTTCTTCCTCCCGCTGCCTCGGCGCGATCCAGCGCAATTGACATGGGTCTTGGACAACGTCTGAGACCCGCTCTGATGCGATTTATTGGGAGTCTGGCCCGCCGTTGCACGTTGCAGAGGCAGGACATCCGGACTCGAATGCACATCATCTTCACGTCTCGCAAAGACTGTTGTAGATCTCGAGAGATGAGGATGAATGGGAGGATATCAAGTGATACCTTGAAGCTTTTTAAGAAGAAGTCTTCCCTCTAAAAATCTGCCAAAACCGATTTTGCATAAAGGCTCTGAAAAGAAACTGGGTCTTCAAAACCAACATGAACCCGCCGTTACAGAAGTAGGACTCGAATGCACACCATCTTGACCACGTCTCGCAAGGCCTGTTATAGATGCTCTGTCTCGAAATCATTTGACGGATGAGGATATCTCTCCAGTGACAATTTACGAAAGTAAAGATACTAGGAAAAGAGACAAGCTGTCTTAACAACTCCGTCACACAGCTCACATCTCACCCCCTTCTCGATCAGACGCCCTTCGCCTTGCCTGGCCTCACGAACCAAGCCTTGACAACCTGCCACACAACCCCCAAAAAGTACACCGTCTGACCCTCCCCTTAGAACTGCCCACGATCACCAACATCCGCCATCGAACACGCAATCTCAGCCACCGGCCCCGGGAAGTGCTTGCTGTTCCTCCTCGCATATGCCGCGACGAGGTCGTTCCCATTCGTGATCCCACCTATCCCTCATCATCAGCAAAGCCTCAAATCAAACAAGAGAAGCAAAAACAAACTCACCACCACTCCAGAGATTCCCATCCTGAACCCACCGATACCTCTCTCCCACGAACTTTGTCCCGGGATATTTCTTCCTCAGCAAGTCCTGCACCCCCCTCGGCCCGCACACCGTCCTCCCTTCCAACAAGCCCGCCGCGCCGCACAGGAAAACACCTGTACACACGCTCAGAACATCCGTCTTCTCCCTCTCCGCGTGAGCCCTCAAGAACCCCAGCACGTCCTCCTCCCACTTGCCCCCGGGATCCGGCCCGGGAACGAGCAAGATGTCGAGCCGGCCGGGCTGCACGTCCGGATGGGCAATGTCGTGCGTCGGCGCGATCCGCAGATTCGACGTGATGGGGAGCAACTTCGTCTCAGAGGCGGACGGAGAATAACCCGCGGAGGTGATGTACGATATCTCCACGCTGGGCGCCAGGTCCCGCAGGTGCTTCGGCAGGAGGTCCATCGACTCCAGGCCGAGGTACTCCCTGGACATCATGTGGAAGATGTCGATGCAGGACAGGTCGAGGAGTTGGACCTCTCCCGGCACAAAGACGCCGATCCTGACGACGTTCGTGTTCGCCATGCTGAGCCGCTTTCTGATATAGATGTCTAGTTGTCTGTGAAAATTAGCGACGAATAACCAAAGTATTCAGATGTCTCACCTGATCTACCCATAAGCTGGAAACTCGAGTTGAAAAGCCTCTACCGGTCAGCTCTAAAAACCACATGCAAAGGACCACCGTCGTCTCTTATATCGTATTCAATGGCGCGGTAGCCTCATTTGACCTATTTCACACCAATCCGACGGCCCTTGTGGCTCCGGACGACGACGGAGGAGCCCCGTCTCCGGCCCCATCCTCGGCCGGCTCTTACGGCCTCCCAACACCGTTGTGAGAATGGGCCGGCCGCCGTTGGCTGCAGGCGGGGAAGATGATTGGCCATGGCATGTCCAACCTCCGAGAGGCGTCGGGTACTGGCGGTCATACAATACTCGACTGTCGTGCTGACATCCGCTGGGCTGAAGCATACCAAAGCCGACGACACGCGGCCTCCAAGTCGACGTCTATCGTCCGGACGGGCTGATGCTGGTTACGTGTTCAGCCTCTCATCCACAGAAATGACCCAGCCGCAGCAGCTGACGAATCTGCAATTTATCAAGCACGACGATACACACGCACGCCACATACACACTGAACAGCGAAGGGAGAAATGTCTACAAATTCACATCATTCGTATTGTTGGTGGCAACTGTCTTCCTATTGACCACTCCCCGATCCACGTTCTAGCGTTGCCATGATCATGAATCGTTCTATGTACACACAATTAAATATTATAGGACTCGTCCATTAATGGGTTCCCGGGATTCTGTGTGTCGGCCTCCCATCTGTTGGTTGTGTGGAACCCACTTTCAGCTGTTCCTGCCGGGCTCGTCCTGTCCCCAGCGGATGCGTCGTCTTTGTCACCCTCTTGGCATCTTTCTGCCTCTGGTGGTTTGAACATCGTCATGCTGGCGTGGATATGTCCTACTCCGTTCGTTCCACTCCGTCTTCCGTATAAGCGAATGCACTTGGACGGCTCTCTCGCTCGTCAAGTTCCTGCGTGTTGCTCCGAGAACTCCGGTTTGAGGCCCCATGAATCCCCAATATCTCTAGAATGCCGATACCATGCCATGCCATGCATATCAAGAATGCCCTCATCTATTTACACATGAGGCTTCTCAGAGCCCCAACGTCTTCAAACACGTTAAATCGAGTTAAAAACCGCCGTTTGGTGGGTCTTGCTAGAATTGGGCTGTGCGTCGAATCGAAGGAAAAAAATAAAAGGAGCCAACGCCGCCTATGCCAAGGAGCGCGGTCCAGTCGAAAGGTAGGTAAATGATAACAGTGAAGGGAATATAATTGTCGTTACGCCATTTCGTCTGCTGAAAGTGATTTCGCCCTTTGTCGGGTGACCTTTTTGCTGACCGAGTACACCAGGTCCAGCGTCCAGAAATGGCACAGCTGGGCCTGGGCGCAGGGGATGGCTCCGTAGATGGGAGCCACCAAGGGAACCATGGCGTAGTCGATAAAGTTCTTCTTGACGCTGCGGTAAGAGAAGTTCATGCCGTCGGAAAGGCCGGCCTCGGACATCTCGCGCTGGCGGGACTTGACGCAGATGCGGTGGAAGCTCTCGTACAGGAACAGGTAGAGTGCAATCTCCATGAAGCCGAGAGTGCGCAGAACGTTGCAAATGTCAAAGATCCAGCGGAGGTGAGCGACCTCCTCACTGCCCTCGGTGACCCAGACGTACAAAGTGGAAGCGACGACGAGGATGGTCATCTGCAGCGGCAGGAAGTGGGCCTCGAACAGACGGTGGAAGAGGTAGACGATGCGTTCCCAGTTAGGAGCCTGGAGAGTGTCGTGCGTGACATCGGAGAAGATGCCGCTCTCGCGGGGCTGCTCGGGGTTCTCCTGATCCAGAGGGGCCTCGGGGACATAGACATCAGAGGCGTCGCCGAGAGAGGTGTGCAGAGGGCGGAAAGCGCGAGAGGTGTGCTTGCGCTCTTGCCAGAGCTCGACGACCTTGCGGAGAGCGTATCCGGAATCCAGAGCACCCCACATGTGTCTCATAGCCTGCTTGTACCGGGCCTGCATATCCGAGTAGAGTCCGCGCAGACCCTTGGAGCCGTTGCCGCAAACGTTGCTCTGGCTGACGGGGCTGAGCACGGTTCGGACCGTCAAGTTTCCGTTGAGTGCGAAAAAACACTTCAGGTACATGTGCAAATCCTCGCCGATAGCCTCGTTGTCGCAGTCCCAACCACCGACGCGGTCGACAAGATCCAAGGGAACAGAGTAGACGGACGTGGGAGGCGCAATGGTCGAGCCGCCGTACAATCCAGACATGCCACCGGCACCCCAGAGGATGTCGGCAACACGGACAATGGCGGGAACGGCGTGGGCATTGCGGTCGAAGATGATTGGGGCCGAGTAAAGGGTGGTCTTTGCTGTTTCGGGGTATGATAGGTGCATGGTGGTAAGCAGGGCGAAGTAGTTGGCCGAGAGGTGGCTGTCGGCTGTAGATACCCCACGTTTTGGTCAGCGAATCATTCTACACGCGCAAAAATTGGAAACATTGACTGCGGCAGAATCTCTGATTCTGACATGTGCACGTACCGTCAATTCCTGTAATGATCACATCCTTGCGGGCGGTCATTGAGTATTTTTGGCTCAACTTGCGGGCAGCCCATGCCACGTTGCTTCCCTTTCCGGCGGACTCCCCTGGGATGTCGGAAGGGTGAACAGTGTAGTCGATGCCGCGGAATTTCTTGACGAATTCTTGGATGAGAGACATGGCCTTGAGCTCGACGTTGGGCTCACGCTGCTCCATGCCCAGGTAGACCTAGAGGGGTCCGAGTTAGCGGTTGGACGCATGATTCGGGGCGCGCGTCGTCCAAAGCCGGCCGAAAAGTTTGCCGTGGTTGCAAGTGCTCGACCGGTGGAAAGAAGACAACATGTGCAGAAAAGGACTTACGTCGTAGCAGCTGCGAGCCTGAGGGTGCGAGGCAAGGACCTCAAGGGTCTCCTTCAGCGTGTCCATCTCCTCCTTGTAGTTGGGAATGATGATGGCGTGGATGACGCGGTCAGGCTCGCCATCGGCGTCGGTGTAGAGCTCGGGCTCGGTGTCGCCAGCTTCGCTACTGGAGGCGGAGCAGCCGTGGGATGAGGTCAACGTCTCGGAGCTGGACAGGGAGGTGGAAGAGCCGCGACGGCGATGAGAGAACTTGTAATCCCTCAGGGTCTTGTTGCGGGCGATCTTCTTGAGGCTGCGGGTCATGTCGAAGACGGCGTAGCAGCATCGGATAGGGAAGGCGAAGACGAGGATGTGAATAAACAGGCAGTAGTATGCGAAGATGACGGTCCAGTAGCCGGCGCCCTTGAACGTCGGCGTGATGGCGCTAAGGCTGTCCTGATGCATATAATTGTAACCTTGTGCCGAAGCAGCTGATTCTTTCGAGATAACCCAGTAACTGAGAGACAGCAGAGCCAGCATGGCCAAGCCGCCTGCACGGCGCGAGGCCCAGGCGAAGAGGGACATTGTCGATGACCGACTGAAGCTGCGTGTCGTAGATGGAGGCGGCGCGATACCAGCGATAGGGGCGTCGTCGACGGCAGAAAGGCGACTGCGAGGTGTCTAATCTGTCGAGGCGTGGATAGGGAATGTGCGAAGCCCGGTTTAGGTTGCTCGAGGGAGGGCGAGACCAACAGCTGCACAAGCAACGGACAGATGAGGGAGAGGAACGGAGGGGGGAAGGAGGGAGTCAAGACCAAGAAGCAGTCGAATGGAGCCCTCTTACCCAGCAGGTCGGACAGCGGTCTCTCGCACGCGCTCTCTCTCTCTCGTCACGTAGGAGGAGGAGTGGTTGGAGTAGTGCAGGTGGGAGGGTTGGCAGAGGGTAGGGGAGGGGAGGAAGAGAGAGAAAGAGGAAAAAAGGGAGGGACTGGAGAAAAATTAGAGTGCGTCTTGTCGGATGATATTCACGAGGAGAGAAGTGCAAGCTAATGGATACGGGACGGGACAGAGAAGGAGAAGGAGGGAAAGAAGTGCAAGGTTAGGTTGAGAGAGTGGATGATTTTCTTGGTTAGGACAGGACAGAGCCAGAGCAGAGAGCAGGCCAGAGGACGGGACTGTGACATGGAGTGTGGTGTGGACACTCGCGCGCACACGGTACAAGTGAATCGAGGCCGTCGGCGGGACAGGGGAAAGGGGGGGGCGGCAGCAGCACTTGTTGATTCTTGGGGGGAGTTGAAGGTACTGATGGACCTGGGAGATGGGAGCTGGGAGCTTCGTGCGTGTTGTATTGGACCAGACGAGACCTGGAGGCCAGGCATGTACCGGGAAGCGGGTAAGGCTCAGAAAAGGTACTTTTTTTATGCAAGTGCGCGCCAGCGTCAGAGCCAGAAGCAGGCCTGAAGCAGCCGCACTTGTTTTGGGGGGCCAGCCGGAGGTGGAAGTACCCTCGCCAGCTTTGAACTCTGAAAAGATACATCAACACATACACTTACCTCATCCACACCGGGAGGTACCTACCTCGATGGAAACACTACCCATAGAGGTTATGCAGCTGTAGGAAGCAGATGGAAGCAGTGAACAGCACCTGCGCCAGCCAAAACATGAGCCAAAGCACTCAAGCAAGACGACGCAAGACAAGCAGCAGCAGCAGCAGCACAGCAAAGACGGCGGACGCAAGACTGCTCTGGAGTGGGCGAGGAAGGGGGGCAAGGAGCGTCTGGATTGGCGAGACGACAAACAAGGGGCCAACCCAGCAGCGGTGATGGTAGCCGTAACAGACTGGGGTCCAAACTGGAGCAATGGGGCCAGTCGAGCTACCAGGATGTGCCTATGAGCTCAGAGGACAGAAACCTCGATAGAAGCGATGGGCAACGAGATGGGCGATGGGCCAGTGTGGCATTGGCTGGGCTGGTCTGGTCCTGAATGGGGGATTGATTGGACTGTCGATTGGGACTTGCTGCTGGGAGGGCATCCCATTGGCCTGTCACCGCCGAGCCTGAGAGAGGCCCCAGACAAAATGGGGATGGGTGGTGC